CGTCTTAAAAACCTCCAGGGACGGTGAATCCACTGCCTCCCTGAGCAGCCCATTCCAATATCTGATTATCCTCTCTGTAAAAAATTTCTTCCTAATATCCAACCTAAACTTCCCCTGCAGAGCTTAAGATCGTACCCTCCTGTCCTACTGCTGGTTGCCTGGGAGACTGATGCCCCTCTGGCTCCAACCTCCTTTCAGGTAGTTGTAGAGAGTGATGAGGTCTCCCATGAACGTCCTCTTCTCCAGGCTAAGCAACCCCAGCTCCCTCAGCCTCTCCCCATAGGACTTGTGTCCGAGTCCCTTCACCAGCCTCGTTGCTCTTCTCTGGACCTGCTCCAGCACCTCAATATCCTTCCTGAACTGAGGGGCTCAGAGCTTGGACACAGTACTCGAGATGTGACCTCACTAGTGCTGAGTACAGGGGAAGAATCACTACCCTGGTCCTGCTGGCCACACTGTTCCTGATCCAGGACAGGATGCCATTTGCCATCTTGGACGCACGGGTACACTGTTGGCTCATGTTCAGCTTCCTGTCAATCCAAACTCCCAGGTCCCTTTCTGCCTGGCTGCTCTCCAGCCACTCTGTGCCCAGCCTGTAGCGCTGCATGGGGTTGTTGTGGCCAAAGTTCAGGACCCGGCACTTGGCCTTGTTGAACCTCATCCCATTGGCATCAGACCATCTCTCCAGCTTGTCCAGCTCCCTCTGAAGAGCCCTCCTGCCTTTCAGCTGATCCACACTCCCCCCCCAGCTTGGTGTCATCCGCAAATTTGCTAATGGTACACTTGATCCCCTCATCCAGATCATCAATAAAGATATTAAACAGAACTGGGTCCAACACTGATCCTTGGGGGACACCACGAGTGACCGGCTGCCAACTGGATGCAGCACCGTTCACCACCACTCTCTGGGCCCAGCCCTCCAGCCAGTTCTTAACCCAGCACAGAGTGCCTCTGTCCAAACCGTGGACTGCCAGCTTTTTCAGGAGAATGCTATGGGAGATGGTGTCAAAGGCTTTGCTGAAGTTCATATAGACCACATCCACAGCCTTCCCCTCATCCACCAGGCGGGTCACCTGATCATAAAAGGAGATCAGGTTGGTGAGAGAGGACCTGCCCTTCCTAAACCCGTACTGACTGGGTCTGATCCCTTGTCTATCCTGTAGGTGTTGTATGATTGCACCTAGGATGATCTGCTCCATAACCTTGCCAGGCATTGAGGTCAGGCTGACAGGCGTGGAGTTTCCCATGCAGCCCTTTTTGTGGATGGGCGTGACATTAGCCAACTTCCAATCATCTGGGACCTCCCCAGTGAGCCAGGACTGTTGGTAAATGATGGAGAGCGGCTTGGCGAGCTCTTCCACCAACTCCCTCATCACCCTTGGGTGGATCCCATTTGGTCCCATAGACTTGTGAGGATCCAAGTGGCTCAGCAGGTTGCTAACTGTTTCCTCCTGGATTGCAAGGGGGCTATTTGGCTTCCTGTCTCTGTCTACCAGTTCCAGAAGCCAGTTGTCCTGAGGACAACCTGTCTTACTGTTGAAAACTGAGGCAAAGAAGGTGTTAAGTACCTCAGCCTTTTCCTCATCTTTGGTGACTATGTTCAACATAGTCCCTCCTTTTGCTGTTGATGTATTTGTAGAAGCACTTCTTGTTATCCCTAACAGAAGTGGCTAGACTGAGTTCAAAGTGTGCTTTTGTCTCTCTAATTTTCTCTCTACATGACCTAACTATATTCCTAAACTCTTCATGAGTAGCCAGCTCTTTTTTCCATAGTCGGTAAGCTCTCTTTTTTTCCCCAAATTTCCTTTAAAATCTCCCTGTTCAGCCAGGCTGGCTGTCTTCCCTGCTGGCTCGCATTTCTGTACACTGGGACAGCCTGCTCCTGTGCATTCAAGACTTGCTTCTTGAAGCGTGTCCATCCTGCACACACACCCTCCTGGACCCCTTTGTTTTCAAGGGCTGTTTCTCAAGGTACCCTCTGAACCAGTCTTTTGAGCAGGCCAAAATCTGCCCTGTGGAAGTCCAGGGTAGAAGTTTTATTGATGGCCCTCTTTGCGTCCCTGAGTGTTGAAAACTCTATTATTTCAGGTCACTGTGCCCCAGATGGTCTCTGACCACCACATCTCCCACCAGCCCGTCTCTGTTTGTGAACAGCAGGTCTAGCAGGACCCGACCCCTGGTAGGCTTATTTACCAGTTGAAGCAGGAAATTACCCTCTATACATGATTTATCACAGAGAACTGACTACTGTGTTTTCTCTTTTCCTGTCAAATTCAGTTCTTAGATTACGCATTTATACTTTTATCATTTCTAGGGCAGTGTGTTCTTGTGTAGGACAGGCAGGAGATGACGGGAAGCTCTGACTTGCAGAGTAAGCAGCCACTTTGCTCTTGAGCATAGCAGTTTGCAGGGGTATATCCTTGAAAGACGCAAAGGAGGATGTGAAGCATGGTGTGTGCACTTCCAGTGCCCCTGGAACTATTCATGTGTCTCCTGCTAATGATGGCTGTGAGAAACAGACCCCAGTGATAACCATGTAAAGAACTGCAGGCTAAACAATGAGACGAAGTAAAATATCGTTTGCTGACACATGACTTATGTGCCTCCTGATCCTGTCTCATATCCTTGAGGTGCAGCATATGTTCACTTGTGTCTCACCTGAGGTGGATGCAGTCATGTGGACTGCAGGGCTTTCCCCTCTTTTTCACAATGAGTTTGGCTTCACCCTCACAAGAGAAATATGCCTGAAGTCATCTATATGGCAGTGGTAGACAAAGTGATAGGGAGAAAAACCCTGGAGACTGGGTGAGAGCTGGGGTTCTGACAAGCAGAAGAAAATATCTGATAGCAGCCAGGTTTTGCTTACCATGTAAGTTCTTCTGGGCATAGACCATTCCTTTGTTGCATTCTTATTGCATCTACCAGCACGATGGGGCACAATTAATAATAGGAATTGAATTTTGTAGAGATTTTTAAAATATATTTTCACTCAGTCACACTGCATAAGATGATTGACATGAAATTCCCCTTTAATTCAAAGGAGCAAGGGATTGACAAATTTCATAGCTCACCTGAAGAAGAGTAGGAGCTTTTGCTACATCTGGGGCATTTTGGGGTATGTTATTTACTTTCAAATAATATAACTACTATAATAAGATGGTTTACCTAGTTTCTGGTAGAACATCTTTGAAAAATGAAATTTGGAGAAAGACGTGAATGAAAACTCTCGATTGTGCTGGCCTTCGGAAACTTTGTGGTTTATGTGCTGCTGCCATCTGGTGGTTATTCTTCTGAAATGAGGCACAACGCCGAGCAGTAGATGTACAGCAAAGAGGGGGTCAGCGCTACAGCCCTGTGCCAGGGACAAGAATGCCTGGACGGGGCTCTCCTATGGAAAGGTGTATTACATTTGGCTAGAAAATAAGTATAAACGAGATCTTTCTAACCTCAGTTTGCTTGTGTGTCCCCATTTCTACAGTGTGGAAAGTGAATCGGTGTCACAGGAGTTGTAGAGGGGTATTAAAAAAAAAGACTAAGAAAAGACTTTTCCTTTGAAATTTCAATGGTATTACTTGAAATGTTTGCTTTCATAACCAATGACCAGTAATTAGTGCAGATGCCTATGGAGGAGCTACTTCTTAGAAAAGACTGTACAGTATGCTGGGAATAGTCAGATTTTATGGAATATTTACATAAGATCAAGATTTTTCACACATGGGAACTGATATGAATAACAAGATTTCTTTTCCCAAAATGCTAAAAGTTGTACAAAATAATTTCTTCTGGTGTATCAAGGTTGAGTGAGCTTCAGAAAGTCCTCTGTTTTGGATAACAGCAATAAAAAAAAATAAAAATGGTACTTTGTTGCTTACACAGAATGCATATTTTCAGTAAAGTTTTATTAGCTCTAAATCACAGAATCATAGAATGGCTTGGGTTGGAAGGGATCTTAAAGAACATTTAGTTCCAACTCTCCTTCTATGGATAGGGACAACTTTCACTACAGTAGATTGCTCAGAGCTCCATCCAGCCTGGTCTGGAACACTTTCAGAGATGGGGTGTCTACAGCTTCTCTAGGCAACTTGTTCCAGTGCCTCACCAGCCCCACAGTAAAGAGTTTTTTCCTAATATCTAGTCTAAACCTACTTTCTTTCAGTTTGAAGCCATTCTCCCTTATCCCGTCACTACATACTCTTATAAAAAAGTCCCTCTCCATCTTTCTCATAGGCTACCTTCAGGTATTGGAAGGAGGCATTTAGATCACTCTGAAGCCTTCTCTTTTTCAGGCTGAACAAACTAAATTCTCTCAGCCTTTCGTCATAGAAGAGGTGCTCCATTCCTCTAATCATCTTTATATCCCTTCTCTGGACTTGTTCCAACAGGTTGATGTCCTTCCTGTGCCAGGGACCCCAGAGCTGGATGTAGAACTCCAGGTGGGGTCTCACCAGAGTGGAGAGGAGGAGCAGAATCACCTCCCTCACCCTGCTGGACACACTTCCTTTGATGCAGCCCAGGATACAATTGGTTTTCTGGGCTGCAAGAGCACAGGGCTGGCTCATGCCCAGCCTCTCATCCACCAGCACTCCCTATTCCTTCTTGGTAGGGCTGCTCTTGATCTATTAATCTCCAAGCTTATGTTGATATCAGGGATTGCCTTGACCCAGATACAGGACATTATTGGTCTTATTAAACCTCACAGGATTCCCATGGGTCCACTTCTCAGGATTGTCCAGGTCTGGATGGCATCCCATCCTTCAGGTTTGTCAGCTGCAACACTCAGCTTGATGTCATTTGCAATTTGGATTTCATTGGAGAGGCTTGGCCCATCTGCAGAGAAACCTTTGGGGGAGGAGGCCGCCCCTTCCCTCCTCTGCTCCCATGCTGGCAGTGGCTTGTGCCTGTTTTGATGAGGGGGAGGGAGCCTTGGCCAGAGCCAGCCATCAACAGCGTGAGTCTGTGAGAAGAGCCCCTTTTTCCCCTTTTCCCCTCCCTCTTCTCAGTGCAGGGGGGAGATCTCCATTTTGGCTTCTCCTGCCCACTGGGGCCCCCAGGTATCGACCGCCAGAGCCCAACAACGCCCCCTGCCGACTTCCACGGAGCAACTGCAGGCTTTGCTCCTCCAGTGATCCAACAGTGCCGCCTCCTGATCGTGGTTAGAATTGCGCCAAAAGGCAAAAAGTACTGAACTGGTTTTTTGGAGGGAAATTTGGGTGCAGGATTATTGTTTAATAGGTTTTGTGTTCTTTTGTTGTTCTGCCAATACACATATATCCTTTAATAAAGGGCTGTTATCTTTTTCTTTCTCCATGTTTCCTCGATTGGATCATCTTAATTTCGTATTTACAATTGCTTGGAGGGAGGAGTTGATCTTCCTCATAACTCATCCTCCTTAGCAAAAAACTTCAGTTTTATTAAACTGAGACAATACTCAAAATGGTTATTTAGTCCTATTGTATTAGTATTTTTAAATATATATGTAGATGGCCTTTCAGAGTGCATTCAGCCTTGATTTGTCTACATACCTTGCATGTTTTGTCAATGAGAGCCATGATAGCAGAGCAAGCATCACACCTCCTTCCAGGGTAAATCCAGTGAGACACATGGAGGTCTTTCTGTAGCCTAACTGTAGTGATATTAACTTGGTCTGCAGACATTTTATCCAGTTTTTAATGTCTCAACGTGTACCTAAAGATTGGCCTAGCTTCCACTATCACATGTTTTGGGACAGAAGTGAACAGAACTGAAGTTGGAACAGATGCTTCACATTTACAAACAGGTCAAACCTGCCTGCATTCACCCAGTTTTGACCAGGTCAGCAGATGAATTCTAACTTCACTTATGCTTGCATTAGAAGTTACAGGGGGTTTTCCCACAACTATTTTGTAGTAACATTTTTTGACAGCTTCTTTGGTATCTTGGGAATGTAGTTGCAAAAATGAATGGGGAAAGAAGCATTCCCTTCTGGGAAAAAACAGGAAACATATCTGTGTACCTTCACTTTTGTTAGGCTGCTTCTTTCAGTAACCTATGTATATCAGCTCAATCTTAAAATTGTTACTGTGAACTAGGAGGTAAAGTTTACAGTCAAATGATCTGAGAGGTGTAATTTAGTTTCAGTGAGTTTCTGTGAATCGGCTGCGTTCAATTAATAAATAATTAATAATTCATTATTAATAACTTGACTGTTATTATTAAATAATAGAAAATGCAAGGTTACATGATTTAGTGTAATCCTAATAGAAGATAACTCCTTTAGGTTATGTAACTTAGTGCTTATTCAAGACTAGCTGTGAACACTCAGATATATACCATAAGCCAAACTACTATAAATCAAAATGAATTGTGACTTCTCAGAACCTCAAGCCCCTTTACTCTGGTAGAATAAGAAGCTTGCATCAAATCTGATGTCCCATAAGATGAATATTTGCAATAAAGATACCACTAGTAAAAAGTCAGCAGGTGTTTTATTTCTTTGTTCAGATTTGCTGAGTGTTCCTAAAAGTTGTGAAAGACTCAGCATAGGCTGGGGAAGAAAACAAGGAAGGGAGTCAGGAGTGACTTTTGCATTCTGAGAAAAGAGTGGAAGGAGCAGCATACCTCCTGCTAGTTTGCAGGCTTTTTCATTTTCCCTCTTCTACTTGCTCTTCATAAGGAAATGAAACTTGAATTGTTGTACAAATTGGGGAAGAAAATGATTAGGTAAAAGTTTCAGAAAGTAAAACTGGTTAATTTTATGCTGCTACATCACTGAATACATAAATCTGCAATGTCTTTTCTTTGAACAGTGTATTAGAAAATATGGTTTTGACAGCTATCTTGCTGTTTCCAGAAGATGGCAGTCAGTATCTTATGTGGGACTGAGAAGCCCTTTCTCATTGATTCATTACTGTTTTATCATTCTTCTAGTGGTGGCTAATGGTGATTTGACTTCTCTAGTATGTGGGCACGCAATCTGGGAGGAACAGAGTTTGGGCCATACCATTCTCCAAAATTTATCCTTAGGGATACAGCTCCATATCCAAGTCACTGCGCAATAAGTGAGTGAATTTAGTGAATATTAGTCACTATGCTGAGATTACACCCATGCCAACTTTTTATTGCAGGTAATGTAGTTTCTACATCTTTTACTGAGAGAAGGTTGCTCAGATTACATCACATTTACCAAAGGTATGCATGGGGCATGCAACTGCCATGGAGCGACTGTTAGACAGAAAATTTATCCTGTTTACAAGCATCTTACATTAAACAAGGCCTTGCAGGACAGTAGTCCTGGAACAGTTAGTTGCTGCCTTCCATCCCTGCTAAGCCCTAAATTAATCTGTGTGAACTTGTGCTCTGTGATATGCTAAAAGAGCACCTTTCACAGGAGAGCTGCCTGTACCTTAACTATAAGGGCTGGTATGATTTTTTACCAGACCTACCCACATTGTGCCTTTTGGACCTTTTGCATGGTGTTTTCCAGACTTCTGTTACACTTGAGGAACAACCTAGAAATTGTTCTGTGGCCAATCGACTTCTTCCTAGTGACCCAAAGGATAGGAGCTCTTCAAGCTCATTTGGGCACACGTTTTTGATGGCTACAAGTCCTAACTGTGCTTGGCTTTGGCAATCAGTAAAAATCATATTACTATGTGAGCACTGCTCATTTGTACCCCACACACCCCCATCTAGTAACAAGAAAACTGTCTGAGGATCAAGACTAAAGTTTGGTGTGGGTGGCAAATGGGCAACTAGCCAACATTTTGGGTGTTGAGTCACCATGACTGGAGATATTCAGAAGTTGTGTAGGTGTGGCACTTAGGGACATAATTTAGTGGTGGACATGGCAGTGCTGGATTAATGGTTGGACTTGATGTTCTTAAAGTTCTTATGCAAACTAAATGATTCTACGATTCTATCATTAAGAGCACCAGTTGTGTTGCACACAGAACAGACACTCAGAAGAACTCACCTCCACTACAGTCACAGGACTGGCTCTATCAGATTACTGTTGGTCTCTAATTAGCCCTTTCTGGTGCAATCTCTTTGCAGTTTGGTCTAGACTTTTTAATTTACTGCTACAGGATGATTTGTCTCAGAGTCACATACATAAGGAGTGTGCCTGACATAACAGTTGCATTGAAATGGAAATTGAGAATGAGGCTTCTCAAGAACATCTTTTGCCCTCCAGCTGCTGCTGATATCCTAGAAGGAAGGACTTCATCATATTTCAGGCCTTGCTGGAACTGAGGGATTGTTCAAACGCACAAACATGAAAAGATCATCAAAGGACATGATTGCAGGAATCTAAAGAGATTGGGCATTTCTATGCTTTGAAAACATACCTCTTTGTCAGTTTATGCAGATTTCTACACTGTCTTCCCATGGCTTACAAGACACCAAAATGTGCTAAGATGGGAACATGTCAAACACTCAGAGCAATTTCAGTCTGATAGGGAAGCATGCTTTCAGGAAGAAAGTGGTACTGCCTTCAGAATAACTTGGGTGAGGCTCTTGGCATTACTGCCCTGAACAAGGTGTGAAAAGTCAAGAGTAGTCTTTAAGGTGGCTAGAAACTCTGACAGACTCAGACTCCTCTGACAGGATTTATTTCAATGTCAGTAGAGGGCTGTCATTGTCCTGTGCTACAAATTAGTAAATAGAAAATTTGCCTATACGATTTCCTGTTCATTCCTGCTCATTCATCTCCCCTGGCTTGAGAAACTCCTAGTGTAAATGACTACCTCAGGGTAGATGTAGATGATAAATCATACTAGATACCTTCTCTCAGTGAAGAGTAATGGTGACATTTATGGCATAGATCCTATGGCCTATTACAAATGTCTACATTTGGATCAGAACAACTGCTCTGTTGCAGAACTTGCATGTATATCTGTTGTTGTGAATGTCTGCTCTTGGTTAGTTAAATCCAATTCTAGTTTTCTAACTGGTGATAGACGAGAAATTATCAGCGTAACGCTTAGCAGAACTATCATGAAAGATACTTTTTCTTTTCATATTTCTTGTCTATCTTTCCTCTCTTCCCTTGTGTAACAACCAGATAATATGGAAACACCAAAAATAATGTTCTGCCATTGTTTCTGCATGTCAAAACTTCCTACCAAAAATTCTCTGTCAGCTTTTGACCCCCTTACCAGAGTTTCTTGCTGGAGTTTTCTAAGGCTACATACCAAGAAAGCATGTACCACCTCTTTCAAACTGTATAAAAATTGAGGAAAAATTTTGGAAAATCAGGGAGAGGAAAGGGAGAAAGAACTCTCTAGCCAAGAATTTGTCCCCGCCTCACCCTCACCTTTTCTCTGCCACCGCATGCTGCCTGCCTACCACCGGAGACTGAAATTCTGCTGGCCTGGAGAAGAACCGACACCCATCGTCCCACATGCTTGAGTTATACATTATCCTTCTATCCTTACTGAGGGCCAAAAGGTGCTGCTGATCAGGACCCTACATGGCCTGGGACATGGCTCAAACGCAAGCGGCAAAGCTACACATCTTGGCTGCATTCCAGAGAACCGAGCTGCTAAGACCCTCCCCGCCCCCCTTCTTCCCCTTCCCCCCCAACCCACAGCTAAGAGATGCTGAGAGATTACATCGAAAAGCGGCAGAGAGAGAGGAAAAAAAAAAGGCAGAAACTGCTCCTCCTCCTCCTCCCCCCCCTCCCCACCACCCCCAGCTCGGCGGAAGGGTAGATTTGTGGTAACTTTCCTATGCTTCTAAAAGTAATCCTAGCTTTTTCCAATTTTTTTCTTAATTTTTCCTCTTTCTCTTTGCATCTCTTAGCAATTAATAAAATAAAAATATCGGGGTTTGGTATCAGCAGATAACTTTGTGTGAGTTTTAATTTTACCGGGGGAAATATCCGAATCTGAAGTCCTTTCTGCAGCTTTTAAGGGGATTGTAACACCTTGCTCCCTCTTTCTCATTTTAAAAACAGTTTCCATCTTCCAGTGGACAGAAATTTAGCCTATCCTTAATCCATAAATTTAATTCATCCTGCTCAAATATAATGTTTGGTAACGGTGCGATAATATCAGAATTTGGTACATTGTGTCAGACATTTGATCAAAGCCCTTTTCCCCTTCAATGTCAAAAATTACATTTTCATTGGCCCAAATAGTGCCAGGACTTAAATCTATATGCTTTAGGGTGACTAGGATGTGAGTGATGTACCCAGAGCAAACTCACTTGAAGTGCCATCTGGACCTTCACAGAGATCTTACTGAATGGGTAAGAGGAAGATCCATACCATCAAGCTGTCAGCTTTAAATGCACTCAACATGGAAATGCTCAAACAAAAACAGTTGAGGTGTCTTCTTTGTTTTCTGTGTAGTGTACACTTCATGAAATTGAAGTAATGAAGAGCTCCCGCCAGCATTTCCAGAAGAAGTTGAATGAGATTGAACAGCACCTGACCAAACAGCAGGCACTGTTTTCTGGCACTATGCCATGTGAAGGAAGGTAATGACAGTCAAACAAGGTTACCTAAATCCAAAGCTATCATTGTGTTACCACATAAGTTCTGGTCAGTGAGGCACAAGTGTGGGCATCCCACCAGCAGAGGATAGATATATTGTGATGTGGGTATTGCTCAGAGGAAAGTCCAGTTTCCCTTGAAGCCAGGTAAAACCTGGAAAGCGAATTTAGTAGAGCAATGTAAGGATTAGAGAGAGTTAAATGCAAAATGCAGGCTTTAAGCAAGGCATAGAGAACTTAGTACTAAGAAATAGCGGAGGCAATAAATCCACTAGAATACAGGACACTCTGACATGAGAGAACATAAGCATGAACAGAAAGAACTAAAAATGCTAGCACACACACAGAAGGACATATGGAAGAAAAACAAAGGGAGATAAGAAAAGGGACAAGCCAAGAAATCAGGTACTCTTCCCAGATACTGAAAATCCTTGCCAAATGCACAAGGAAACTACCCAGATTAGGGAAGGTTCAAAAGTTTATGAAGATGATGATGAAAGGACACTGAGTTCATGATGAAGAAAGACAGGAACGACCACCGAAGTTCTCCCCAGATTAGAGACCACGCCTCAAACTCTGCCTCGACCCCGCCTGTTATGAATATTAAAACTAGATGTTGCAAGATAATGAATATTCATAATATGTGATGTAATTGCTTGGCAAAAAGCGTATAAGAAGCTCAATTGTAAGTTTCTCGGGCGGAGCAGGTTGTCCAGGGTGACCTGGCTGCTCCCCGGCCGCTCCCTGGCTGTAAATAAATACCTCCTGCTTATAGACTGAAAATTCTGTCTCTGAGCAGTTCCTCCACGCCTTCTTTGGGGCACAAATTGGCATCACCCCTACAGTGTTCGAGGCTCTTAAACATGAGCATTCTGAAGGGAAAGATTGCTTCACGGATTTGGGCTAGATTTTTAGCATGGAAATACTATGTTTTAATAGCATTAAGAATGAAAGGACATATCTTAGTCAGCTGGAGCTCAGTGTCCCAAGTCAGTGCTGGGTTCAGGTTATGTACTTAGTACTCATGATCAGTGCAGTGACAATGCAGGAAAATTTGAACTAGCTCTCTATGGATTCAGCACAAATTCACAGGGATTGCCAAGAAGCTTCAGGTTCACAATTTGTTACTAGGGATTTTCAGTCTAGAGCTGCCTAAAACTAGGACATTTATACAGTCCTTACATTGCTGATAAATCAGAAGTGATAAATCTGTCCATATTTGACATGGTTCTGCAACTACATGTTTAATTTTGCAACTGGGATGATAAAAGAAGTGAAAGTCAAGCAGACAAGGACTGTTATTTATTATTTTGTAAGGTATCCTGTGATCATGAATAAAAACAAGACTGCGACAGAGGGGAATACAGGCATTGTGCTGAGGCTGAGAAAGACGAGGGTGTTTACTGCTCGCTCTAGTTGCTTTCACTGCTGTCCCTACAGGGAGGAAAGCAGATACCTGCAACTCTTACAGTGAGCCATTTGTCAGGAAGTTGCAGAGTTGGAGTTTCAGTTGAAGAATCAAGATTATCAAGTCAGTGAGAGCATCCTTTACAGTATGTTGCACAATCACTGATTTAGATCATGTGGGAAGAGTTTAAAATATGTCCTGCTATTCAGTGTTCAAAGTGTTAACTCTGAGGTACATCTGAAAATTCTTTCAGTGCCAAGAGGAGGATTTCAAAATACAAGACTTACAGTTATCCTATTTGACACTCTTTCTCCTTGGCTATGCTACTTGAACTCAACTACACAGGAAAAGTGACGATAAAAGTGTTTCAAGGGTTGGAAGTGACCTCTGGAGAGCTACTCGAACACTCCTGTCAAGGAAGGGTCACCTAGAGCAGATGACACAGGAATGCATCCTGGTGTGTTTTGAATGTCTCCAGGGAGACTCCATGACCTCCCTTGAGCATCCGGTTCCAGTGCTGTGTCAGCCTCAATGAAAATAAGTTTTTCCTCATGTTGAGGTGGAACTTCTTGTGTTTTAGCCTATGGCCATTGCTCCTTTTCCTGTTGCTGGGCATCATTGAAAAGAATCTTGACAACATCCTGTTGACACCCTCCCATGAGATATTTGTATGTATTGACGAGATCCCCTCTCAGTCTTCTCTTCTCTGGACTAAACAGGCCCAGCTCCCACAGTCTCTCATCGTAAGAGATGCTCCAGACAAGATTGCAATGGTGTAACACTCCAAGCCCCAGAGCGACAAACTCATGGGCACAGTCAGGGGTTTTACTTTAAAATATACGTATATAGGGTTCTTGAATACCTTGAGATAGCGAAAGAGAATAAAACATGGACTTGTTCCGAAGAGGTACTATAATTCAGGGGAGAAAATAGGGGAACTTGGCAAAAGTTCAAGGGCATCACACAAGCTAGACAAAATGTTCTGCCATAATACCGATGCAGCACATACTAATCCAAAACACTTAAGTCAAAAACCAATCCCTCCAGCTTTAAGCTACCCAAAGCATCAAGAAAGGAGCAAAGAAAGAGAAGAAGAGGGATTAAGAAGAGAGAGGAAGGAGAAAGAAGGAGAGACTGATTACATAGCTATCATTGGAACCTTGCGGAAGACCAACTCTCACATGTTCAGATGGCAGGGCCACGATCACATGGTGAGCATATGCCTTTGGTTTTATCTGCTCTGGTCCTTGTAGTAAACTCCCCCCCAGCAGATCCTCTGACCCACTAGCCATTCTGGGGCTCCAGGCCAGGGTGAGGGGCAGTTATCTCACTGTCCCTGACAATCCGAGGCTGGGTTAGGGGCTCCAGGAGGTACAGTGTGTTGAAGTTTTCCTGGGCTGCTTTTGACTCACAGCTGCTCTGGGGCTTCCCCATGTGGGTTCCAGGGGCCTGCTGTGAGGGATACGATGCCATCTCACCCCCATGAGGTTTGACCCGTCCCTTTGCCCTCAGCATACACCACCATCCCCCCACACACACCCACACCCACACACCCTTACACCCCCCCTCAAGGTGGTTCCAACCCAACAGTTACTGATCTGGTGTCTAACAAATAGCCAGATTGAAGTCTGTTAGCAGGTTTTCCATTAGGCAATTAGATCTCTCTGTTGGAATAAAATGTCTTTTAGGCTTTTCTCCTCATTTTTATGACAACATATTAGTTGCCAGATATTCCATGTCTTCTTCAGACTAAGCAGAAGCAGGCATGCTTCATATACTCTTGTGTATCCTGCTTGATTCCATTTATTATATTTTTATTACTGCAATATGCTTTTCCTTCTATTTTCTCTGCAGCAGCTGGACAAATTACTAGCAGAACAATCCCATCTGTTTTCTGAGCTTAAACTCTTTGACTGGAAGGAAGAAAGAAAAACTCAGAATAAACAAGTGTTTCCAGATGCTGCTAACACTGTGCATCCTTGAAGTAGGTGCTCAAAAATGGTGCACAGAAGAGCTCCTAGCAAAAACATGACAGCAACAGGCTCCCTCTCTGCCCCACAGCCAGGGGTAACCACAACAGTTTCCTATCAGGACGACACTTGAGCCAAATTCAGCCAAGCCTGCCCCACAGAAGCTCTCTACCCGTAAAAAAAGGAAATAAAAGGACACTCACAAGCAAAAATGGACTTTAAGACATTCATACACAAAATAAAGAGAGGTCTCAGCCTCAAGGTTTTAAATGGAAGAGATCACTGACCTGCAGTGCAATTTTACTATTTTGTGTCTCATTGCCACAGTCTAGATCAGGACCATTTCCTTCTCAGTTGTACATTTCTTGAAGGGACAAAGTCAGTGTTTCAGGGCACTGTCAGTCTGCAGAGGCAACAAAAGTGGAACTGAGACTGGACCTGTCTTGATATTTCTCAGTAAGCTGTGGCAATGATCTAGATGATCCAGAGAGAAGAACACATAAATATAGGGATTGCATGTGGCTTGCTTGAACTTTGAATGCAACTGTTTGATTAATTAGTATTTTCAACCCTATCACATCCTGTGAAATTAGTAATTCATGGATTCAAATTGTAGACATAATCAATTTTTCAAGGACAGTAAAGGTAGTGAATTGGAAGGTTTGTTGTTTTTCTGAAGAAATTTTAAGTCAGCATTTCTGACTGATCTGATCTCACCATATAACCAGAAAAAAAGCCTGCCTTTTTTTAATGCAAAATAAACCTAGACAATATATTAGATAGCTCCCTTATAAATTAATGGTCTCTTCCATCTAAACATGTCCCCTGATTTTTAAAGGAATGATCATTCTCAGAAATAAAAAATTTAGGGTTAAATTCTGCATAAACCTCATGTAAACACCATGGGAGGGAATGCCCTTTATCGTAGTCTTATACTACTTTATTGTTTTATGTTGATACTACCACTGATATTATCAAGCAGAATCAGGTTTCTTAGCACACAATTCAAAGAATGAGACCCATAGACAGTGAGGAACAAGGAATCGAAATGTTTGAGATAATGTTTTGTCATCTTTCATACCCATTTCTTTTTAAGACTGATCTTGGTCATTCTCTAAACATACAAAGAAAACAACATCTTTTTTCTTTTTTTTTTCCAGATGAAGAAATCTTTCCAAAATTCCTTAGTTAATGATTCAGCAGAAGGAAAAGACTGATGGACGACAGACTTACAGATTTTTTTTTTATAATTGTGGCCTTTTTCTTTAAATGCATGGCATATGACAGAAGAAAATGAACAAAATATTGCATTATAGAAAACTCTGATCACGGCAGTTTCATTTACCACGACTGACTGGAAAAACAGGCATTTTTAAAGGATATTTTGAAGAGAGGTGTTAAGTATTTTGCTACTCTGTGATTACTAAACTTACTATGCTCCTATTGGCAATTATGTGAGATAGGGTTGCTCTTTGTAAAGCCATTTGAAAAGAAGAGGAGAGGGCTTGTTTTCTGAGAAGGAACAAGAACTTGCAGGTAATCCAGGAAATGCTACTAGAAGGTATTCTCCTTATAGTTAGTTATTTCAATAGTCCTTCAACCAATACTAAATTTCATGTCCAAAGTACCTTATATAGTCCTAGCTACATTCTAAATTTTAACTTGCTACTAACTGCTTCTGATTAATTTTGTAAGGTTGGTTTCTACTCTCTGTATCAAATCAGAAGCTCATTGACAGTGTACAAAATGTTAAACTGTCAAACTATTACTGTGCAAAATCTCTTAGCTTTCCTCCTCCTTTTCATATTTGCTTCCTATAATCCAATTAAGACCAAAACGAGATGAGAAACACAGGGTTTTCTACATTATAAGCCTGGAATCAGAATCCTGGTTCAGTTTTCTGGGGAGCAGACAGAGCCTGGATTCGTGCAGAAAAACCCTCTCAAGTTTGGATAACAGCAAAGAAATCAACTGGTTCATTTTCAAAGCAGTGCAGTTTTCAATTTAGTGCTTCCCAGACTGTGAGATGTCCTACTGTCTCGTTTGTTTGATGCTCTGAAGGGATCTCAGGTGTCATTTAGGCTTTGGTGTCGCAAATCACAGCTCTGCAAAGGTGCAAATAGAAATAGCATTTACACATGTTTAAAGAGAAAATGGAATCAAACATGCTGAGCAGCCTCGAGGCTCCTTGCACCTCCACATTTCCACAGATGTTCAGGGTAATAAAATTATTGGTGGAGAGAGGTACACAACATAGGAACTAACAAAATCTTCTACAGCCTGCTGGGCCATGAATTTTACTGGTTGCAATTTGCCCCTTTCTTGAGACCCAACATGGGATTTGTACATTATTTCCACACTACCAAGTATTTTAGAGTTTATATGTCAAGGTTTGTGATTATGATAGTATGTTCAGGCAACATGCAAAAGGAAAATGAAATTTTGGATGGAATAAGCAATAAATTTGTCATAATATTTTCTCCTTCCACTGGCTTAGAAACTGCACTTGCAGATATTATACATCAGCTTGTGGAGGAAAGCAAATAAAGAGAATGGTGAAAGACATACAAAAAGTGCTGAAGGCCTACTGGAGGAAAGAATGACTATGAAGCTTCCTTGCCTCAGCCTTACCAGTGATTCCTGGTTTTTGCAAGTCACTTCAACATGATGCATAAAAACTCTGAAGGTATGTGATGCTGCAATTACTATTGGCCCATTTTATGTCCATGTGCACAGAAGATGTTATTGGCAGGTGGCAGCTGTTCATACAGGACCTCTGGTGCCATTTGCATTCTACAGTTTATATTCTCAATGAGGACTGAATATGACTCTTGCTAACAAAATTGTTTGAATTACCTCTAGATTGGTATGTGCAGTCCAGCTCCTCATTTCATTTTAAATATAAAATAATTTCATGCAAGACATGGATGGGATAGGCTTCCCCAATATGCAACACTTACATGCTCACAAATACCGTTACTGTGAATGTGTTTGCATGTATAGCTAGAAAACTACTCAAGCCTTCAATGTTGTTTTAATTGTTAAGCTGCAGCCTTATAGTGTCGGGGTTGACAGCAAGCCTGTCAGCAGCCTGGCATTTATTGACGAAGCAGTGGACATAAACCGGATTACAGTATACCCCTGAAAGAAGGAGAACACAGCATGCAGAAGAACGTGGGCAACTTTCAGAAAGGAAGAAGATGGAGGACAGAAATGTACTTTTTACAAGTCAAGATGACTCGACAAAAGCTGTGTTTACTATTTTGCAACCAATCCTGGGGTGTACATACATGGAAGTACCAATGGCAGGTTGACACATGGATGGCCTTATGGCCTGATGTATGTATACCAATAGAAAGTGACATGTGTGTGGCCTGATCTATGTGTACCAGTAGCAGGATGACATGTGTATGGCCTGATATATGTTTATATGAAGACACCAATAAAAAGTTGACAAGTATGATATGTGAAAAGTATAAATGTTTGCAACCTGTTACAGTAAAGTGATTACAGACTTCTTGTAATCCTGTCCCTGCTTTGGAAGAAGATTCTATGTCGCATTGGCCGTCCCTGACTTTAACAGCGACTTTATAGCAATTAAAAAACACACTACGCAATGGGAAAATCTTCTGACTAATCCTAGAACACAAGTGTTATTTCACTTCCTAACTCCTCCAATCACATTACAAGGATGGCTGAACTAAGCCTCATAATGCTGCTATTGAAGATGAGAGAGAAAACACACAGTAATTTTGTGATCAGGAAAGTCCAAGAGTAGCACTGGTGAGCATGGCAGCCAGCTGTGTACCCACTTGACCTCACGTTACCAACTTTTTAAACTCTATCATTTATTTCCCTTTGGAGCAATCATAAGCAAATATGGTGGGAATCTGAATGATGACTCCACAAAATTGATTAAATAATAACATATCTGACTGGGTATCATAATTGCTCTATCTAGATGAAATCATATGAATTAGCTTGCAGGTTCATATCTTGGGGAAGGGGGGCTATATTATTTGTGAAAAACACTAGCACTAAGATGTGGGAACAAGCTGAGTTAGCCTCCACCTGCATCTAGTTAATTAGAAACAAAAAGGTCAGATCGACCTTGACTGGTGTTTTGACAGAGCGCTGTGTTCTCGAAGTGGAACACCGCTTAATGGTCTGCATGGTTTTCTCATGGCTGAAAACAGTCACAATATGATACAAGAGCGAATGTGTGGGATTAACAAGATCCTGGGAATTCTGGTTAACTAAAAGACACCACCAGGTGCTGTTTACAAAAGAATCCTAATAAAGGGGAAATGCAGAGAGAGATCTGCAGAGAAATCATAAAATCGAATTCTATGTGTGCAGCCTCATTTCTTCATCACCGTAACTAAGCAGTTTCAAATTTGAAATCTGAAGAAAACTGACCACATGACACTGTAGGACTTCTGATGAAAACATAAAAGCAAAAAATAATAAGAAAGAAATGGAAGTATTTCAGCAAAAAGATATTTTCTTCCCTATGTTACATCTCTAAAACTGAAGCAGGTAGAACCATTGGTTCTGTTTCACAGGACTGATGAGGGTCCACAAAGTTCTATGCAATATAGATCAGACCAGCTATGGGAAAGAAGATGCATAGGGTTACAGCAGTGTTCTTTTCCTTGCTCTCCGGTGCTCTTTCAGTATCTCTTGCCTGCAGAAACCTAAAACTGATGCCTGAAACTCTCTGTTAAAGGCTCAGCATTTCCTTTGCTCTCGTCATGCTATCTGAAGTGCAAGGGCAATATGCAGCCTTAACAAAGCAGGACAGAGGAAAAGAGTGGGACAGGCAGGGGAAGGTAAATTAAAAATGGTTCCCTAATAAAGACAGAAAATTCAAAACCTAATGACTGCTTTTGCCTACCTAAATTCATTAGCAATTTCTGTCATTTGGATTTTACTTCTTTTGTCATTCTTTTGCCTTCACTGGTTTTCCCTGATGCCCCGTAAATCTTTAAACCCTAAAGCTAAAAGAGGCTGCATTGCGCACCAGCTCAAATATTGATTTTGCTAGAAAGTATAAAATCTGGTGACATAATAAGGAAATCTACCTAAGGTACGCTGCCAAACGCTCCCATTAGTTGCTTTATCAGGCATCAA